TAAACTGCTTATTAGACTATTAATTTACAATAGAATATTGCCAATTTGATAATATTTTTTTATAAAAAAGCAAAAAAATAAAAAATAAATCTTTTATATAAAAAACAAATTAGTAATATAGAAATAAATAATAAAAGATTGTTAATTGATTGGCCTTATATAGAGCTATCTGAATTGGTAGTCTGATCAGAGTCTGTCAGTTCTGAGTTGCAATTAGTAAAAGATGATAAAAAAATGATAAAAAGATAGATACTGAAGATTTAGTAAACTTGAAATAGTATAATGTAGTGACTAAACAGATAACCTCTGTGATTGTAAGTGTTAGATAACTATAATATGTTGCATAAAACTAAATCAGTTGTATATAAAACATGGCAGATTCTAATAAGTCTTCTGTTAAAGATAAAGCAGTTTTAAAGATATTAATAAGTATTAGAAACTTGAATAAATAATGCTTTAAAGATGTTTTTATAATACAAGATAGATTGCATATACAGAGAATTAAATAAGCAAGACTCCTAGCTGGCTTACAGGTATATAAAACTTATATAGTAATATATAAGCAAACTCTTAAATTAGACACCAAAAATGCATATATAACTAGTTGTAATTTCTAATATAAGAAAGCTCTTAAAAGCAACCTGTGTCTTATAAATTTAAATAAAAATAATACATTCTAAAAATAGAGACTTTAATACAAAAAAAAATAAAAAAAAATAAATAATAATAGATACAAATTAAAAAATAAAAAAAGAAGAAAATAAATAAAAAAAAAGAAAACATATAAAACTTACAATTTACAAATATCAGATAGTTACAATTATAAGCCTGTATTAAACTTTAAAAATTATAATTATATTAATTGACAATCCATAAAAAAAGAAGAATTTGTATTAATAAAATATATAACATTATATATAAAATATAGCAATCAGCATTTCTGACTATTTAAAGTTAAATTTTTATTAATCTAATATTTTTTGATCATCTAATAAAAGTTGTAGAGCTAGTTTTTGTAATTCTAATAATAGTAAAATCAGTAAAATTAGTTAGATATATAGAAAGTTACAAGTAGTTTTAAGTTTAATTTTTTCTATGAACTATAGGAATTATGATTCTTGTTTTTTTTTTTTTTTTATAATTAAAGTTTCTATCTTGGTGATGTGATATTTTATTTAAGTTTTGTTAAGAAACAGGTGCCTTCAGGAGCTCCCTTACATTGGAGATTACAACTGGCTGCATATGCATTTTTGGTACCTAATTTAAGTAGTCTACTTATATATTGCTATATAAGTTCTATACTAGTTGCCATACTTGCAAGCTGACTAAAAGTTTTGCTTATTTAAACCCTTTGCATATGCAATCCTTTTTGTATCACGAGAACATTTTAAGACTACACCTATTCAAGTTTCTGATGCTTATTGTTATTCTTAGGACTATTTTATTCTCAATAGGAAACTTACTAGAGCCTTTATATCCTATATATAGACCTAGTTTTATGCAATATGCTATAGTTATCTAACACTTGCAGTCACAGAAGTTATCTGTTTAATCACTACATTACACTATTTCTACCCTTGTAAAGTTTACTAGAACCCTAGCACCTATCTTCTTAGAATTTTCTTCATCATTTCCTACTAGTCACAACTTAGAACCATCGGTCTTATTTCAGACTACCAATCCAAATGGCTTGATATAGTATACTTATATATTCTTTTCCTTCGATAAATCTGATAGCCTAGTTGGTTATATGCTCTTCTACATATATTTGTTGTTTGGTTTTAATTTTCAGTTTCTATGAAGATGTTTCATAGGCTTTAACTGGTCCAATGGTATTGTCAAAAGTTCATGCTACCTCTTTACTCAGATATTTTCAAGTGGGTTTCTGTTATCTCAGTTTCTTAGTCTTCTATACCTGATAGTTTTATCATAAGTTTGCACTAAAGTCTCATACAATACTGGTAAACATTCTTCTATATATATGTAATGTTACACTTTGCATAGATGCCTGAGCTCCGAATGTTAGGAGGATTCAACTTGGTGTATCTAGGTAACAGCCACATGAGGCCAACTGATTGACAGAAGACAGTTACTATAATGCAAATATAATTTTTAAATTTTATTATAGGTGGGATTTGAACCTTAGACTTGCCACTTGAAGGATAACAACCCAACTACTACATTAGGATTGCTATTCTTTAAATCATAATTCTTGTTTTTTTTTTTTTTTTTAATATTAAACTAGCCTCTTTTGGTCCTAGAGTTTTATTTAGTAAATTGGACATAAGAACTCGCAGCCGAAGCCTCAAAGAAGTCATTTTATATTAGAAAGTACAACTAGCCACATGTACACTTTTGGTGTCTAATTTAAGTAGTCTGCCAATGGTTCTATACTAGCTGCCATACCTGCAACTCAACTAAAGGCATTGCCTATTTAAACCCTCTGTGCTGCAATCCTTACTGTGTCACTAGATTATCTTCAATACAGCTGTCAGTCAAGAAGGTCTAGATACTTTTACCTATTTCTCTTAGGATCCCATATCTTATTTCATGCAGTGTATTCTCAAAAGCATCATTACTAGAGCCTTCTATGTCCCACACACAGCTAATCTAGTTTTATGTAACACACTATAGTTACCTAATACTTGCAGTTACAGAGGTTATCTGTTTAACCACTATGTTATACTATTTTTACCTTTGTAAAGTTCACCCAAACCCTGGTACCTATTATTCTGACATCTTCTTTTCATCCCTCTATTATTCAACTTAAAATCCAACAGACTCTCCAGACTCCCAATTCAGATAGCCTGATATGATATACCTTAGTATCCTTTTCCTCCGATGATTCTGGCAGTCTGGTTGGTCATATGCTTCTTTATACATCTTTTCATCTGGTTGCATGTCTGCATATTTCTTATTGGGGTTTTTTGGACTTCTATCAGTCCAATAGCACTGTCAAAGGCTTGTGCTACTCTTTACTCAGGAATTTCCAAGTAGGCTTCTGTCTTCTCGGTTTCTTGGTCTTCTATATCTGGTGGTCATATCGTGAGTTTGCACTGAAGTCTTATATAACACTGGTTATTAACATTCCTCTATATATATGTAATGTTACACTTCACATTAAGGGCCTGCAAATTGCCTATTTTTAAGGCCTGGTCTAGCCCACAATTAGGGTTAAAAATTTTTTTTTAGGCCTGGCCCAGCTCACATTTAGGGTTACCAATTTTTTGCCAACCTGGTTTGGCCTATATATATTAAATTTTTTCTTCAGTTTGGCCTGGCCTGCAAAAATTTTTTATATAATTTTACAAATTTTTAGGTTCGCACTGGCCTGCAATTATAAAGTTTTGCAAATTTTTCGGCCTAGTCTGGCCTGCAATTATAAAATTTTGCTTTAGGCCCAGCTTGGCTTACAAAAATTTGCAGGCCAGGCCAGGCTACAGGACCCAATGCAGGCCTCTACTTCATATAGATGCCTCAGGCTCCCAATAATGAATAGAACCTGATTGGTTGTACCCAAGATTACAGATATCTAAATTCAACTGATCGACAAGAGACAGTTTATCATAATACAGATATAATTACCAAATTTTGTCATAAGTGGGATTTGAACCTTAGACCTGCCATTTGGAAGATGACAACCCAACCACTACACTAGGATTGCCATCCTCAACTATGATTTTTGTATTAATATAATTTAATATATTTTATTATAAAAATCTCTCTTGTTTTTTATTTTCTTTTTATCATGAATTGTCAATTAAATAAAAATAACTACTATTTTTTTATTTATTTAAATTATTTAATAAAAAATTATATAAGAAAAAAACTTTAACTTAATTATAAGAAATCAGTATAAAGTACTAATTAGTCTAAAGGTAGTATTTGACAGATTATTAGTAGTTCAAGGTATATATATAGTTGTATTTGTATTATTGTATTATTACTAATTTATATTGTTAACAAATTTATTTAGAAAATAAATACTGCTGACTATTTTGATAATTTTATATATTAATTTTTAGTATATGATAAACTAAATTACATACTTTTTACAAAATTTTTATTGAAAAAAAGTAAAAATAAGAGATAAACCAACTTTATAGCTTTTGTAAGTTCTTAATCTTTATAGATGTTTTTTGTAAATTTTACAGTAATATAAAACTAATATATTTAACTTTGTTGTTTATTTAATAAAAAACTTTGACTTTTACTAAATACTTTTTTTATAGTCTTAAAATACTTTTAAACTATTATCACAAAGCTGCAATTTCTTTTTTAACTCTATTTTAATGTTCAACTATGCATGTACAGTATTTTAAAAACTTTTTATAAAGTTAATATATTAACTATATTATTTTTTTATAGTTTAATTAGGGATCTGCAACTCGGGCTCATGCCTATGCCTAACAAAAATTCAGGTATAGGCATGGACATGAAAGCTTTGGTATAGGCATAAATGCTAATATAAAAATTTGGCATAGGTATGAGCATAAGCACAAAAATTTGGCATAGGCATAGGCACAGACATGAAAACTTGGCATGGGCATGGGTATGGGCACAAAAATTTAGTATTTATTAATTAATTATATGTTTGGTACTATTTGGCACTTGTGCCTAGCACTTTTTGGCATCTTTTTGCCTACCATATTGTGCCTATGCCTATAAAGTACTTGGCATTTGTATTCATAATTATAAAAATGCCTGGCATTTGTGTCCATGCCTATAATAATTCTTGGCACTTTTGAGCCTATAGGTATGGGCATGGCATGAGGCACTAGTGCCTGGCATAGTGCTAATTTGCCTGGCATGGGCATTTGCAGAACCCTAAGTTTAATATTTTGAAAAGTTTAGTTTAGATAATTATTAAAAAGTGTTTTCTACAAATTATATATAATATATAATTAAAATTAATACTTTTACATATTGTATAATATTAGGCTATCTAAAAACTTCTGACTAGGGCTAGATTTGTTATATACATTTCATTTACCCTTAGCCTAGGCTCTACTATGAGAAGGCACTAGGCCTCACTTAGATTCTTGTTTTACAAATGACATTTAGGGATTCATTGTATTTGTAGAACAGTTCAGTCCATATTTCATACTTTTTCATTGCAATTGTTTTTGGATCTGTGTTGTTTTCAATATCAGTATTGATATTTGTATATGAATGAGTTAGATTGTGTGTAACATTTTGTGTTGAATGGTCATTGTGATTACTTGCTATTGTTGTTGATATGTTTTTGCATCTGTTTTTCCATATTTTAGTATATATTTCTTTTGTGATTTTGTGTAATAATTTTGCTGCATTCGATTGTCTGTTTTTAGATCTAATTATTATTTGATTTAGTTTTTTTTTAACTTCTGTTGTCATTAATTCTTGAATAATTGTTATGTTTTGATCTGTGCGTATAGATTGTATGAAATATGTTTTGATAAAATCTTTTTTGCCTTTTTCTGTTGTTTTTTGTTTTTAGTTTTTCATCATGAATTTCTGTACTGTGTTTTGTAGATATGTGTTTATGTTTTCTCTGTTTGCAGAATATATTATCCAATGTGTGTTTGTTTTTGCCTCTGCATTGCAAATTAGACATGTCACTGTTGGATTCTTGGTTGGGTTACGTTTGTGTAAATTTTCTATTGTTGGTAACTTATTAAATAAAAATTTCATTTTGAAGGCCTTTAATTTAGAATAGCATGGGTGCATATGTCGTGTTGTAGGTTTTGCATTGTAATTAAAAAAGGCATATGTATGTTTCCAGTTAATTTTTTCATTATATACCTAGTCTTGAGTTCTGTATTGTGAATGCCAGAATGCTAAGTTTTCTGCATTTTGGATGTTTCTAATAAGTCTTTGTGTTTTTTGTATTGTAGTATAGCTCCTCCAGTTTAGTATATAGGTTGTGTAGTTCTGATATTGAAATTGTATATAGGTGTCATAGATGTCGTCTGTTTCATTATGTTTTATAAAGGTTTGCAGGTATTCAGATGAATCTGTATCTGTCAGTATGATTTGTAAGATGATATTTTTCTTTTCTAGGAGTATGAATACCAGATTCTAGTATGGCTAGTATGAATTTTTTAGAATATCTATTTTTCTGTTCTGTCTACTCACTAGCAAGTTGTAGTTTTTAATTATATTTGTTTGCATTGTAGCTATTTTGAGTTCTGTATCGATTGGTGCAATTGCTATAAGTGATATGATTGCTGTAAGTGTAGCTGTAGTTCATGATGGCCAGCCTTGTATCTTGCCAGATAGTTTTATATTTGGTGAATGGATTTTCCATATGTATTTAATCGCTATTGTATTATTATTTGTATATTTGCTTGTTATAATTGTAGCTGAAGTTCTTTTGTTAGTAGAGATGTTCTTTGCGGCTCTTATCAGATTATTACTTAGGTCCAGATTAGAAAATATATCATTGCATGCTTGGATGGTAGGTTGTAGCCTTTTTGATGTTACTTGTAATAGTATAAATTTGTATATGTTTTTGTTTATGCTTTGATTTTGTTTTGTTAAGCATGCTTGTATATCTTTTATTTCTTCATATATTCTGTTTTTCTTGCTAACTTGTATGATTGTATACTCTCTCAGTGTTGTTTTGATTGCACAGTTTCTATAATATGTAGTAGTAGTATGATTGCATCCTTTGCATTGTATGAACTGTGTTGAGTATTTCTTGTTCAGTATCCAATGGGCTATTTTTATTGTGTTGTCTAATAATATGCTAGTCACTTTCCCTATTATGACTTTATTGTTTGTTTTAGTTGCTATCCAGATCTTTTTCTTAAGTGGTTTCTAGTTTAGAGTATATGAATTAGATGTAATTAACATTGTTTGGTTATTATGTAGAATTTGATCAATTTCTTGTTTGATTAGTTTGAACCAACTTGGTTCTTGTTCTTTCGATATCTTTTGTGTTGTGTGTAATGTTTTTCTTTAACTAACTGTTTGGGTGTTGTTCAAGTTTGTCAATTGTTCGATAAAGTGCAAATGGTGTAGATTGAGTTTTGCTTTTAGGCTATTTGGATTAAATTTTTTGCCATTAATTGTAATATTTTTAATAATTGTGTTAATGCTTGTTCCTTTGTTAGGTAGAACTGTAGGCCAGTTGCTTTGTGGGTTCGTGATAGTAAATTTGTTACTATGTATAAATAAGATTCATTTCATGATATTCGTTTTATATTCTTTTGTTGGTAGTATGTAATTTGGGTCACTGTTGATTGTTTTATTTGTTGTTGCTGCATTTTGTATTTGCTGTATTCTTATGTATAGTGAAGAGTTGTGAAAGTTAGAATTGTTAATTTGTTATATTAACTTTGATATATGGTGTTGGCATTGTATATTCCACATTGTTCTCAGTGCATATAGTTTGTGATTAAAAATTGTTGAGTTTGGCACTGATTTTGCCATTTCTGCCTTGTGTTTTGCTATCATTACATATTTGTTTATAAGTTTTTTGCAAGTGTTCACATATAGATATGATTCTGTGTTCGATATTTAAATCATATTAATATAACTATGTTGGTCACATATATCACTTGCTTGTCTGTAATTGCTGCTTTTTTGATCAGTTTAAGAGTGGTTTCTATTTCATTTGTTATTGCTTTTTGAATTGACTTTGTATTCATATGTAGTGTAAAATAGCACCCCAAGAATCAAAAACACTGTGTAGGTTAAATTGAATCGATGCTAGTGTTGTTGAATATTACATAATTTGTGTTAGGTGTATTGACTTTCCGATTAGTTGCTAATATAGATTTTTGTGAATTAACTTTGATTTCAGTCATCTGATAAAAGAAGTTTGCAGTATCAATCAGTCTTTGTAAGTGGGTTTTACTGTCAGCAATCCATAAGGTATCATCCATGTATGCTAATACATTGTATTCTGTTGAGATAGTTTTAGGTGTTATTGTTCCTGTATTTTGTGCTGTTGGTAGTATTGTTTTGATCGAGTAGGTTGGGTGATTGCTGCTAATTCTAGTTAAAAGTGGATCATAGTAGATCCTCCATAATAATAGTGCTATTGTTTCACCTTGATCTATCCCATCTTGTACATGATAGTATGATGTATTGCCATAATTTGTGATTACATTGTTGTTCCTTTGAGTAAGAATATTGTTTATTAAATTAATAATTGCATCTGATATTTTGATTCGCTTTAGAGTTTTTGCCAGCAGTGGCAGATGAACTGAATCGTAAGCCTTGCTCATATCTTGCGACAGAAGCCAGAGCTCTTTGTTGTTTATTTGAGAATCTTCAATAATATATTGTAGAGTATGTATAAGTGTTGCTGTTGATGTGTTGAATAAGACTACATAGTTATATGAATTTAGTATATTGTATTTGGATAGCACTATGTCAAGTCTATGAGTTATTATTTTTGTAAGAATCTTTCTTGAGTGTTTTACAAACGTAATTGGTCTGGTGTGATTAAGATTACTTGTAAAAACTTGTTTTTTGATATTGGATATATTGTGCTGTATTTCCATGTCTTGGGTATGTCTTGAAGTATTATACAGTTGTTGAGTATTGTAAGTAAAAGAGTTTTTGCTTTTGGGTCCAGGTGTTTAAACATTTTATTTGATATTTTGATAGGTCCAGTTGCTTTGTTGTTGGGTGTTTCTTTGATTATTTGTTCTATTTCTGATTGTGTTATTTTAGAGGTTGTGATGTTGTACTATTTTTGTTAAATTGTGTTTATAGGTTCATATTGATTCTTCCAGTTTTGCCATATATCTGTTTGGGTTGAGTTCAGTTTTGTCCAGTTTAGAAAGGTTCTCAGATTGCTTCTTTAATCTTATTAGGTTCAGTTATAATACCATTATTAGTACGAATGTTATATAGTATGACTGGATCTGTATGCTTCTGTAAAATACTTTTAATCATTTTGGTTGTATTATCTTTAAAGTTTTGGTATCTTTGTTCTATGCATTCTTTTATCTGTTTGTTTTTAGCTAGCATGTTTTTCATGTTTCTTGAAGCTGCAGTTTGTTTATAAGTAAGTTTTAATTGGGTAGTTGTTTGTATAATATTGGCTATAATGGTTATTGGAGTTATTGACATATCAATATGCTGGTTAATTTCTTGGATAAGTTTGTTAATTAACTCTATATTTGGTTTATCTTTATGTATTGTGATGTGTCGAAGCACTTTGTTGACTTTGTTGAGTGTTTTGTGTAAGATTGTAGCTTTGGCAGAGTATAGTTGACTGTTGTTTGTTGTATGTTTCTGAGTATGTAGTATAATTTTATTGGCATTTTTAATTATTATGTTTGACAGCATGTGCCATTGTTTGTTTAGATTTGTGATTGTTGTGTCTTTGATTGTTGGTTGGTTATATTGTGTTAGATCTTCTTCAATTACATTTTTGTAGTTTTCCTATGTTTCTGTATTCATCATATCATATTTATAGATGGTTTGCTTTGTTTGGTTCTTTGTGTGTTTTTGTATTTTAGGTATGTGAATTGCAGTATGAATAATTTTATGATCACTATTTGTTATATAAATTGGGTCTTTGATTTTTGGTGTATAAAAGTTTTATAATTGGGTGTCCTTTATCTATATTTCATCGATTTGGCTTTGACTTTGTTAAGATGTCCAAGTTGGTTGGTTTGGCATTAGTGTATTAATAAGAGGTATCATATTGATTAATTTTAGGTGATTGCTTAGTATGTTGCTTTTGTTATTTAGATTTATGTTAAAGTCTCATATAACTATTGGTTTAATGTTTTTCTCTATTGCTGTATTTGTCCATTCAATGATCTTGTTTTGTGTTTCATTGTTTAGTCTTTTGTTTGTGGTTGGTAAGTATACTGTAATGATTTGATATTGATTCTTATGTGACAGGAAGATATCTATATATATTGCAGTTCCAGATAGTGTTTTGATGTTGTGTATGTATAGTTGTAGACATTTGTGTAAAATTATAGCTGCTCCCATACAGGATTCTTGTTTGTTTGCTACAGTTTTATTGCTGTTTGCTATATAGAAAAGGTATGTACAGTTCTTGAGTTGTAGATGTGAATATTTTGTGTCTGCTAACATTGTTTCTGTTATACCTATTATGTCTGTATCTTTCTTTCTGCAGTATTCAAGCCATGTTTGTTTTTTGATGTCATTGTTTATTCCTCGAATGTTGTGTAATATTATATTTATTAGTTCTGTTGAGTTGTCATCTGTTGTGTAATTTATTTGTATAGTATTGTTTTTTGTTATTTGTTGTGCCATGATTGTTTCAGATGAAAATATCCCAGGTGGGTTCTGGGAGTGATGGTAGTTGTAATAAGTATTCAGGTATCTTGAGAATGTCGAAATGTTGTTTAAGTATGTCAAGGGTTGTTGTATCTTCTGTTTGTTCCTTGATAGGAATAGTAATATATATTTCATTTGGTATTTTTTCTAGTGCTTCTTGTAGTTGTACTAATGTTGTTAGTATAGTCAGTTTTATTGAAGTTTCAGGTTGGAAATTTTGATCTGTATTGTAAGGCTTTGCTGTTGGTATGTCAATCCATGATATTGGTATTTGGTCAAAGTAATAGTGTTCTCATAGTAGTCTTGCAGTATTTACTAGTAGTCTTGGTGATGTTATTGGTATAGTAATGTTGTATTCTTTTATTTCTGATGTGTTATCAGGTAGTCTTGGCTTGTCAGTTGGATTTGCAGTCATAATTTCTTTGTTTATAGGGAACTTGATTTTATATTTCTTCTTGGCCAAATTTAAGAATTCTTTTGCTATATTATCATCTGTAATAGGGTAGTTAAATTGTGTTCCAAGTTTTATATTCTGGGTGTCTTTTGGTAGGATAGGTTTTTGTACAAAGAAGTCATTCAGCAAAAGCTGAAATCTGTAATATTTTCTAAGAAGCTCGATCATTTCCTGGATATTTATGGTTTCATTTAATGGGTCTAGAGAGAAGAGGTGTCTAACTCTGCTGTTTAATTCATGGTATGTTGTTGGTAGAAGTTCTTTATCTGAGGGTAGGTCGAAGTAAGATGTAGGTATTCTGTCAAAACTGTTGTGGTCTACCAATTTATTGTGATAGAATTTTAATTGTTATAGTTGTTTGGGCTCTGTAATTGAAAAGAAAACTCTCAGTTTCTCTTTAAGTTCTTTAGAATTGTTAGGTAGATTTGGCAGAGATACAAAGTATGTTTTAGGTAATGTTAGGAAGAAGAAGATCAGTCATAGAGAGCTAACGATTGCTTGTGTTTGTGATCTTTTGGTAATTGGTAGGTCAAAAGATAAAATTGCTTGTGTTTCTATGTCTATATCTGTAGGGTTATCTGGTAGTGGTTGTTTTAGTATACTATATGCCTGATTTATTGTGCTATAGAGTTTTTCCAAGTTTTTGACTAGTTGAGCCTTAATGAAGTTTCTGCAATATTTAATGATTTGGTAAATCTGATTTGGTTTGTGTTGTTTAAAGTTGAGGTTAAGGAGATATTCTATTATTAATTTTTGTTTAAGTTTTTGCTGAATAATGTCTCATGTTTGCCTGTTGGTTAAAGTGATTTTGTTTTTCTCTTTGTATTTGTTAATTGCTTCTTTTAATAATTCTATGAATTCAGTCTGATGGGCTGGCATTATTGATTTGTTTGTAGTAAAAGAGGTAAAAAAGACTGGATCCAAATATTTAAACTTAAGCAGAATTGCTTTAAGAATTTTATATATTGTGGGCTGTGTTTTTAGTTTATATTCTGTAAAGCTCTTGATTTCACTTATGCTGTCTAGGGTTAGAATTATTTTGTCTAGTGACCAAATGCTTGTGTTAAATTTATTAGTGACTTGTTGGTCTAGTTTTTGTATGATGTGTTTCATCTAATTTTGAGTTTGGATTATGATGATTTGCTCTTCTGTGTCTATAAGATTGTTGCTAACTGCCTAACTATATGTTGTATATTGGTTTATATTACCATTATTCCTAGGATTCTTATTGTTAACATTGTTGATATTGTAATCATCATTATTGTTATCAATATTCATTTCATCATTTACTGTAGTTTCTATATCTGAGTATTGCTCCTGTGTATTGTTGTTGTCACTTGTTTGGCTAATTTCCATTGCGGTATTGTTGAGATTAATGTTGGTATTTGTGTTACTGGTAATTGTTGTGTTGTTGTTATTATTGCCTGTTATGGTTGTTGTTGTTTTGCTGTGTGTTACATGTGATGTTATTGTGCATTGTTTAGGGGATAAACTATTTTGACCACTTTTTAGTTTTGTAGTATTCTGTAAAGCAGAAAAGAGAGGATTAAACTGTCATCTTTTAGTTTGAGCATTAGTTGGTGCTATGTTATTTGTCTGTTTAGTTCCTTGAGTACTCATACTGTTCTATATTGTACTTTTTGGTATGTACACTGGTCTATAGTCTGTATTCTGCACATTATAAAGTTCTGTTTCTACCAAGTTCAAGAAGAACTAGTTTTGCATTTCATTGTATTTTTTGGTATTATTGTTGTAGTTTGTTATGTTTGACTTATTTGATGTTGTTTCTGTTGTTGTTCTCTTACATTTGTGGTTAGTTTTTGGTATATTACTCAGCTTATTTAAAGTTTCTTTCTGTTTCTAAAATTTTACTTGTACAGTAATTTCTTAATATAATTATTAAAAACAGAGTTAATACTTACAATAAGTATCTTTATATAATATACTTTCTATAACTAAGTATGAAAAGTGTAATATAAAAAAATACAAGAATAAAAAAAAAAAACCAACATAATAAATAAGATAAAAAAAGATGCTTGTATAAGAGAAAAAATAAAAAAAAATAAAATAAAATAAACAAGTCAAAGAAAAAAAAAAATAGAAAAAGCAAATTTAATAAAAACAGAAGCTTAAAAGACAATTTATATGCTTGTTATAAAAGAAGTAAAATCTTTCTAATATGGCTTTAAATAGTTAGATAAGAAGTTTATCTCTAATAAAGATAGTGCAACTAGTTGCATTTAGATATTATTAGAGTAGCCAAGTAATGCTAAACATAGATATTAGAAAATTTTATATAATTATATATGTATATAGTTTCAAGAATCTTAATAAAGTACTAATGTAACTTACAGTTAAAATTATTAATAAAAATATGAGCAAGGTCTTACCTTAAAACCAAAAAAAAAAGTACTGATGTAACTGCTTAAGGTTAAAAAAATAAAATAAAAATAAGTAATATTAATATTAAATTTAGTAAAAGCAAAAAACAAACAAACTAATTTTTATTTTTTTTTTAATTTTTTTTTTTTAATTTAAAGTTCTTGTTTTTAAGAAATAATTTTTATTTAAGTTATATAAATAAAAAAGTTTTAAAAACTTTTTATATAAGAAGTTACAACTAGCTATATATATTTTTTTGATATTTAATTTAGTAGTTTATTTATATATTATTATATATATTTTATTAGTGTTGTTATTAGAATTCTGAAATATAACTGAAATTTCAGATTTTTTCATCCTTTCAGTAGTTCTAGTAAAAATTCTCACTAGAAGAATTTTACTACTAGAATGCATATAATATTACCTAATAAAAATGCACAAATAGCAAGTTATATTAATCAATAAAATGCATATATTACATATGACTTAAATAATAACTTTCAAAATTTTGCTTATGAAACTGCTCTTGATGCTTTATGAAAAAAAAAATTTTACATATAATTTTGGTATAGTATTTATCTAAATTCTTTTTTTAACTTTTTCTAATATCAAAACCTATTTAATATAGACTAATATTGATCAATTAGTATAACCTGTTATATATTCTGTTCTTGCATAACTTTTGTTATACAAATTTGTATAATAAAATATATTTATAATGTTTTTTTATTAATTTTATATCTAAAGTTTTTTTTAAATACTTAGCATTTTCTTCAAATACTATCAATCTGTTACAACATATTCATTGTTATTCAAGATTTAAAATTTTTTTGGCAATTTAGTAAATCCTAATTTCTATCTATAATCAGAACATATCAGTTTTTTTTTTTTTTTTCTTCTTTTAAAATCATATTTATGCTTGCTTGACATTCAATTTTAAAATAACTATATAATTTATATGTATAGATAAATTTTAAAATAAAAGATTTTATTTTAATACAAAAGATAGATATATGTTAAAATTTGAAATTTAAAGTTTAATTATTCAATATTGCATGACCTATATATCCTAAAACTCCAAATATATTTAAAATGTTTTAGTATTTGGAGATTCTTTAATATTAATTATTACATTGAAGTCTTTCTTATTATCAACAATGTTGGCTGCCAATAAGGAAAAGCTTTAAGTGCTACTATAAGACCAATATATTATAATTAATTTTATTTAACAGGGATTATATATAAGAAATAATAGCTATTAAGAAAAGAGATATTTTTAAATAAAACCTATCTATTAATATTTATATAATTCAGTTTTTGAAATTGTACACTGAAGATACTACTTAGTTCTCATTTTGCTCTATAATCTACTGCTAGATGTTTGTAATTACTTAGTAAGTCACCTTCTATATAATCATCAAAATTGTCTTATTCTTTCTCTTTCTCTTTTAATTTAGCAACTTTTTTATTTATTAACTTTTGTTCTTAGTTATATAATTAGTTTTTCTAATCATCAATAGTTTTTATACTTGATAATTCATTATTATGCAATTCATCATATTCTTTATCCATATCTGAATTTAATTTATTTAGTCCATCTGAGATTTTACTAATAGAAGGTGCACTGGATTGGTTAAGTATAATGTTACAGATATGGATTTGTTTCTTTAATTGGAACAATTTAATTGAAGCATGAATTTGACTCATAGTTAATACTTTTTTATTCTATATTAAAAAGAAAAAATAATAATAATAATAAGTTAATTTTAAACTATAAACAAAAAAACATCTTGCTTGAAGACAGTTACGATAGTTAGTATGAAGAAATCCTATTGAACTTTATAGTCACTTTACAAATGCTGCATTAACACATATTCCAAATAAATGTATGACCAATGGACCTAATTCTTTAGTTGAGAAAGAGACAAATTTCTAGAATTATAGTATATTTTTTTAAATTGTTCATATGTTGCAAAGTCAAAGAAATATTTACACTTTCTATATTCTTCTAGTTCAAGCAAAATACAGATTGGTTGGTATTCAAATCATGCTTTGTAATAATAAGTAATGAATTGAGCTAGATATATAAAGTTTAAATTTTCATTATTATAATTAAACTATGTAATATGAATAAATAGATTTAAAAGAAAAGCCAATAATAGTAATAGTTGTTCTCATTGCTTCCATCTTTATTCTAACTGCAAAATTATGTGCTGAGCCAAATTTTGATCTGGATACTCCTTCCATATTCTCAAAATTTTACTAACAGTCTGTAACTCATTATAAAGATGTACAGTATCTGATTGTAGTTTGTTAAGAGCTCTGCAATAAGAAAGAAGCAAAGTATGTAACTGTGTTATTAATTGCCAAAAATTATTATTAAGTAGAATTGCTGTTATATTTTGTAAAAGACAAAGTTCATTTAAGCTATTAGAATGCTGATTTGATTCTTCATTGTCAGATTTATAAACTAAACTTCCAAAAGGCAATTCAAATATAGTAGCTAAGTTTTTAAAAATTTTTATATTTAGGTTAAATATTTGTTTAAATTAACATTTTATAGATATTAATTAGAATTTTGCAAGTACTAGCATAGTACTAATAAAATATAGTACTTATATGCTTGGCATGATGTTATATTTAGTACTTGCAGAACCTTAATACTAACTCTTAAAGCTTGATAAGATTTTAATAGGCTTTTAAAACAATAGCAATATGAATTCCAACAGATATCATCTAGACAAATTAAAGTAATATATTTAGAATATATTAGTTTTTGTATATCACGAAGCTTTTTAATAAAATATGAATAAAGTGTATTATTAAAATAGCCAATTATTTTTATTGATTGTTTCATTGCAAGTTTAAATTCTGCAGATTCTTTAAATATTTCTCTTATGGCTAAATTGCATTGATAAGTAAAACAAGAAAAAAATATAATTTTTGAATATTGTAATCGTAATTGACATCTATTGGAATAATTAAGAATTGAAAACTAAGATAGTAAATATAGTCAGACCTCTTGAAGCATATGCTCTTAGTACTACACTTTAATAGTATATATTTAAAAAATAATAAGAAAAGTGTAGTTATAGAAATCAAGTATATATTTGGTTTAGCACTTAAATGTATGCACTTATAGACAGTGTTGTCCTTTCTACTATGTCCAAAATTTTTTTTGACCATATTCAATATCCAAATATCCAAACATCCAAGAATGTTTACAGCATATACAAGCTTTAAAAATTAATATATTAATTTAAAAAATATATGATTATATATTTTTTATAGTGCTAAATATTTTTATTTAAAAAGTTAAAATAGATTAACTTAATAAAATTTTAAACAAATTTAATTTATTTATTTGTTCAAAAATGTTCAAAAGTGTCCAAAATTATGTTCACAACTGTCCTATAACAACACTGCTTATAAATGCACTTAAAGAGGTCTGACTGTATAATTTTTAATATATTTTTATTAAATTTTTTATTTATTTATTTTGTTTAATTACCTAATAGCAGAATATGCAGATGCATTATTAGAAATAATTACTAATAGTTTTGCTTCTATACTCAATGCATCTTTGATTATATTCTTGATTTTAGGAATAATTTCAATTATTCTTTTTTTTTCTGAACTAGTATTAGTTTCTTCCTAAATCAGAACTTTTTCAGTTGACAAAATAAATAATGAATCAAAAATATGCTAATTTAAAATATTTTTCCAACTATTAAATGCCAAGATAACCTTAATACTGTCTTTATTTAATGTTTGTTCTTGTAATTTAATATAATTTATTCTCTTAGTATCAAGAATACAATTAGACAATATATGCTGACTAGAAAGAATAAGTGCTGGATTCAAGAATTTAAAAAATTTCTTAGTTTTTGAATTTGTTGTCCAATGAAATGCCTGTCCATTCAATATTGTCATTCGAAACAATAACTGATTAAATCTTAATTTGTTTTTGTGATAATATCTTTAACAATAAATTTAGACATAGAGCCAGAATTTAATAATCTTTTTTTTGACTTTTTAGTTATTTTAGATGTCATTGAAAAAACATTAAAGGTTATATTACTTGTGTAATTGTCATTTTTTTTTTTTTTTTTTTAAAAAAAAAATATATTATTTATTTGAATAGCTAATGCAATTTTCAAATATTTACAAATTACTTGATATATCATTAACATTTAAATATTTTTTTAAAGCTTGTAGATTCTTCTCTGTTTTGTTATCTGTCTTATTACAATAGTTGTCTACTGCTTTTTGAGAACCAAGTTTGGCATAAAAATACTTGCATTTTTTTAAGTGATTTTTTATAATATTTTTTTATTAGTGAATGTTTTATTTAAAGCTTTATTATGACCAAGGGCATTATCATAAGCTTTATATATATAGCTAGTATTATATTTGTTTGTAGGTTTCACACCAAGTACAATATCTTTTGTAAATCTATATTTTTCAGAACTACCTATATGTCTTTGAGCCATTTTAATTAAAATGCATTAAAGTTAATACAAATTGCTGAGTTGTTAGAGTTATAAGATAGTTTTAAAACAATAAAAATAAGTTTTTCAAGTAAAATGTTATGTTTTATAAATTTTATAAGTTTTATTAGAAAAAAAAAATATAAGAATAAATTTCAATATTCTTTCTGTAGATATATATTTTAATTGCTTAATAATGTCTCAAAAAACTTCTCTTTTTCTTATAGATTTCATATGCAATTATATTTTCTAAATGAATTATCTGCATTGAAGATGAAAAAAAAACTTTCTATAATTATAATTTGGTATCTTTTTTTAATAACTAAAGGTGTTAATTAACTTGAACTGCTTGTATATTTTTTATTATAAAATTGATTATTTAATTAAGTTAATTAATACTTCTACTAATAATGCTTTATTGAAAATTATATTATTATATACAATATAGTGATTAATTGGAAGTGCATTGCATAATAATATGCAGTTTAGCTCAGCTATTAATTTGTGTAAATTAAATACTATTATGTATAACTTTAACAAGACTTAAGTTTATTAAAATTGGACTTAACTCAAAGAGACTATAATAATATATAATTACTTATTTATAAAGTTAAGAGTTTATTTTTTATCAAAGTATATGTATAATCTTTTTTTTTATATATTTCTAAAATTTATTTACTATTTAAAATCAGAAATATCATGTTAGAATTGCACCAATATATTGCTTTATATGCTAATTTTAAAATTAAGATTTGGTAAATACATGAATATTATGTTTTAATAGCACCTTTTCATGAATTTGTTTGCTAAAAGGTGATGCAAAGCATTAAATAATTTGATTCAGACTTAAGTCACTTAAAACAAGTATTCACTTTTAGGTTAATCTGCATATAAACTATTCAGGTTTTATCTTAATTAGTGATAGAAAAAATGCACATATTATAATAATATGTGCATGAATGCACATTAATGTACATAAAATGTTTTATGTACATAATATTACATAATATAAAAAAAGCAAAAAAAAAAAATGATTAAGAGTAAAGAGATATTGATAGGATAAAATGCACATAAAACAGAATTATACACATAATTCTGCAATTATATATATGCATGAAACCTATCTCTAATCTTAATATATATTAATAGTTTTTTTAAAAAAAAATTTTAGAAGATAAATATAATAGATTTAGGTAGTTTATGCAACAAATAAGAATTAGTATCTTGAAGATTATATTGTCAAATTCTAATTCGAAAGTGAGTATTTAATATTTATAATATTATAGTATTGATTATTAGTATTTAGGTTTTAAAAGCAAATTACATTAAAATGATTAAACTTACAAAAGTAAAAATGCAAGAATTTGAAATTATATATTTCTGAATAATCTTACTATATAGAATTATGATAATGATTTAAATTAATATAGATTTTTTTTTTTAAAAAAAAAAGATAAAGTTCAGTTAGTACATGATTATTATATATTAATAGCACTTTTTCTAGTAATAGGCAATGTGCATAACATGTGCATAATTATGCATATAATTATGCATATGATGTGCATGAAATTATAGAATTATGTGCATGATTTATATATATATCTTGGCCAAGCTAAAATTTTCAATTGATTCTGAAATATTTTGAAACTTATAAGCAATTCCAAAAAATTTTCATGTACATGAAATGCATATGATGTGCATCATGCATATTATGTATATAAAATTTGAAAAAATTCGAATTTGCACATTACTAGCCTTTTTATAAACCTGTTTACTAAAAGAGAATGCCAAGTGTTAAATAATTAGATTCAGACCCAGTTTCTTGAAACAAGTGTCTTCTTTTAGTTTAATCTGTATATAAACTATTTAAGTTTTATCTTAATATGTATAAATAGTTTTTTTATAAAAAAAATTTTTTTTGATTAAATGTGATAGATCTGAGTGGTTTATGCAACAAATAAAAATTAGTATTATGATGATTTTATATTAAAAAATAAAATTACAAGAATATATTTCTTATAGCTATCCTTTAAACTTATTATCTTTATCAATTTAAATCTGAGCAAGTGCTAGCAATTGACTCATAAAAGAATTTAAGAGTTAAGTTGACTAAAATATAATGTTTAATAAAGGTTTGAAAAACTTAGCAATAGGAAAGATGTAGCAACCTAATGAAGTAGATAGGTTGTCAACTTCCAAGTGGCAGGTCTAGAGTTCAAATCCCAGTAATAGTAAAAATTTGCAATTCTTTTTGTTTTACAGCTAACTGTCTTCTGTGATTGGTTGGAATAGGATACCTGTAACCTGTGTTATACTGGCATAACTGGAAGGTCTAGGCACTTGTACAATATTGTATGAAGGAACACAAACTGGTACCAGGCAGTATAAACTCAAAATAAGTTCTTAGGCCATGTAAATCACAGAAACTAGATAGGAAGACAGAAGTCTACTTGAAAAATCCAAGTAGAGAGATAACCCAAACCTTTGTCGGTGCTACTGTAAAGACTAGACTTATGAAACAGAGCTAGAACTTGTAAAACCAGACAAATATGCTAGTCTTTGAAGAGAAACT